CCTAACTAAATCCTCACTAACCCTTTAATCACAGTTGCAACAAAAGCTCATGTCCAAAGTAAATGAAAGTTAAAAGGCATGCAGAATTCTTTGATGGTATTATTTCAGCCTTCTATTACAGTTTTGCTTATTGATCAATATGCCTGTATTTACTGACATACTATATGCACCTTTCTCCCAAGAATTAGCTATCCAAAACTGAGGTGCACGTTTTAAATGAGGAAGGAGATTTCTGCACCAAAATAAAGGCATGGGGATGCTGGAATAGCAGCCCAGGCCTGTGCTCCCTTCCCATGCATATGAAGGAAAAGCAGAGTCTACTCCTCAGTATTCCTTTCACTGCAAGCCCCACGGCTACAGCCTTAACCCTGGCACAACCATTGCCATGTGGCAGCCAAAAGCTGCTGCCAATTCAGCAGTGGCTGAGACAGAGTTAAAGCTTTAGCTGCGGGGCTTGCAAGGAGAGAGTAAGTGATGCTGAAGAACAGACTGTGGCTGTGCACCTGTGTCTTCCATTCAACTAGGACTCTGGAAAAAATCTTTTTCTCTTCATTCTGGCTTACCTAAACAAAATGTGGGTCTTATCTGGGAGCATGTAGTAGGCAAGAGAATGTAGTACCTACCCAGAACCAGTAGTAAAAAATATCCAGAATAACTGGAAAATATGTTTGTGTCAACAATGATTTATATATTATATCCACTCAAAAAGTAAGATCTCACATAGCTGATTCATAGGCTTTGATACTTATGATTTTTCAATCTTAATTTCACCTGCACAGAATAATCAACATGTAACACAGGGGTTGGCAACCAACAGCCCACAGGCCAAACCTGGCCTACAATAGCTCAGGGGATTAACAACACAGCAGATAGGGCAGCAGAGCAGGCATCCCAAGGGTTGTACCACCTGCCTTGTTTCATCTATTCCATCTGCAGTATCTACGGGCCACCAAATACTCCCTACTCTACTCCAACTGAAGAGATCATCGTATCTCATTTTGTACTCCTAACTCTTAAAGGACTAAGGACAAGCAAGCACTAGTTGTATATAAGGTCTAGCTGTGGTACAAGATCTGGCCACTGGCATGGCTCTATACTGGCAGCATACAGTTCTGAAAGTACAAGATACACTCTCTGTTTCGCTGCTCGGCCTGCCACGTGGCACAACTGGAGACCTACAGAGCCTAAACAGGAGGGCACTTGGCACTTTCTCTCTTTCACCATCTAATATTGATGATTCCTGTCACCACGGCTTTCCATAATGACTTTAACCCTTTAGCTCAGGGGTGGGCAAAATACGGCCTGCATGCATCCCACCAGGCCATTCTATCCAGCACACAGGGCCCCTAAAAAAAATTTAGAAAATTAATATTTATCTATCCCTGGCTGCCTTTCACGTGGCCCTCGACGGCTTGCCAAAACTCAGTAAGCGACCCTGCACCCAAAATAATTTCCCGCCCCCGCTTTAGCTGCATCAGTACTATACACATTAGCAGGAAAATGGTAATGTTGATTAAAACACTTTTTGAAATGTTTTGGGGACAACCGTTTGAGAACTTCAATTGTATCATTTCTCTTCTTGTCAGTATTACCAGTCATAAGAACAGGTGTCATTATTACTGGATATATGGCTAATAAAGATTGTTTCAAGTTTATTTGTTTTCAAATTTGCTTCTCACTTCCATGTATTCAAGGAGAACAGGATCTCACAGTAAGGACAGGGGAAAAGGGCTGCAGAGAGAAAAAGTTGGGGAAAAGCAGAGAGCAAAGGGGCTACTTGACTCCCCAGATTTAGTTTCCTTGCTGTAGACAAGGCAAACCTCCAATAATTAGATTCTATACTTAGAAAATTATAACAAATTTATAACATTTCCATATATAGAATTTAATTATTAGGGAGTCATCTTATAACAGGGTTATCTATTATTTGAGTAAATTGCAGTAAAAGCTGTGTTATCTGGCAGTTTACAAGCCGGCATGCTCTACTAACTGGTATGCCAGCTTGTAAGGTAAAAGTGAAACCGGAAGTGCCCACCTTGGCACTTCCAGTTTCTCCAACTGAGCCCCCACAGCCCGGGGGCATAACAGGGTACGTGGGGCATTTTCTGGGTTAGAGCTCATTCTGTTCTTTTACCGTTCTCATTTCACCTTGTCTATACTGTGTGTTCTTCAATTTAAAATGTACCAGTCCACAGATATACATCTTGAACAGGCAGGGCCAAAACTGTTTTGTTCAGTCCGTCAAATCCTGTGTCTCTACAGGGAGTACTGTCTAGATGATCCAAGGTCCCTTCAACCCTATGATTTAGGAGGAAATGAAGTATAGCCCCAGCCATTGCCAAGTATCTACTTGTCCCCTTATTCATTTCTGTATGACAGCATGATAGCTTCAGTTAAAATATAAAGCGCGTTGGTTATTATCCAAGTCCTCATTCCCTCCACATAATGCAGGAGACAATTCAAGTTGTCAGAAATATAAGACACTTCCATTCCTTTTCACCACAGATTTAAGAGGGAAAGCAAAGCCACATCTGATAATTGGCTTAATTATTGATTATGTAATGCAGGGATCCTGATTTTATCTGATTTAAAAATATCCCCCATTTTTGGTTAAAAAAAAGTAACTTCAAATCCACATTTTTCCATGATTAAAATGAAACACCATTATATAGCTATCTATGTATTAGTGGTATTTAATTTAAATCATGGAAAAATGTGGATTTGGAGTTACTTTTTTTAACCAAAAATTAGGGATATTTTTAAATTGGAGAAAACCAAGATCCCTGGGAGCATCTTCTCATGCTGAAGGATACAGCCTTCACTGTTTAAGCCTGTAGTCCAAAGTAACTCACTCTGAACCTACTTGCATAACTCCCACAAATGCCATGCATCAGTGGCTGCCTTGCAAATTAACTGTCTTATAGTGCACCATCTTACCCAGCCTTATTCTACTATATAGGTGGACTGAACTGGCAGAAAACTGATTTCTGATTTTTTTCCTAAAATCAGAAATAATCATCACTTCAGGTTTCATTTCAGGAAAACACAACCAAAACCAACAACCCAACAGACAAAGCTCCATTTGAAATCCCCTTTCCAAAGATATGTACACTTTCTATTATGTTACAATATTTATCTACCATTTATTGTAAGACCTATGAATAGGGAACTATCGAAATCACGTTTTTGCAATTTTTGTGGAAACTGCAAATTCAGTCAGTCCCCATGAAACAGCCTGGTCCCCGTAAAAAAAGCAAGCAAATCATGAAAATATACAAAAATTGGCAAGCAAGTGCAGGAAAGAAAAAAATAAAGGTAACTGTAAAACAGAAAATGGCAGGAAGTCCTGGCATCCTGAAGCACAGCAGGAAGGAGAGGTGAGAGAGGGGAAGCAAATCAGAGGCTGAGCCCATGACTTAGGCTCAGTCCAGGAGCCAGTCAGGGGCCAGGCTTACAAAGAAATCCAACCCCCCCCCCTTCTTTTTTGCATTGCATCCCATTGCAAATGCCAGCCTGGCACCGCCTGCCAGCCCACCCATCAGGGTACCCATGTATTTTGGCGGCGCTGCGCGAGGAGCTGCCTCCTGCTCCTGGTGTGTGGTCAAGCCCACAGAAGCCATTAACCACAACCTAGACTGCTTGCTAATGCATCAATTAATGGCTTCCATGGGCTTAATCCCCTGACCAAAACCATGGAAGCCATTCATTGACCCATTATTAAGCAGCCTAGGAAGCAATTAATTAGAGATGCACCAATAAAGATTTTATCGGCTGATACTGATGGCCAATTATTAACCAGCGTGCACCCTCATGGGAGGCAAGGGGGGCATGTCCCGCCCCCCTGATATGTGCATGGGGCAAGTGTGGGTTGCCCACTGTGGGCTCAGGGTCAGGGGCTACACTAGCCTCTACCTGGTGGGGCAGGCAGTGGAAGCACGGAGACAGGCGGCTATGGGGGATTTTGGGGTGACTATAGCCCACCCCCACCCCTCCCAGCACCACAGCCACCCACCCCACCCCACCCAGAGACATTATCAGCTACACAGGCCAAAAAAGCCGGTTG